AATTTGAATATTGGTGGGGTTGGGGGAAGGGATTGATTTTGTCATTTGGGAGTTGGAGTTGCTGAGATTTATAGTTCACCTACAATCAAGTGACATTTTGAATTCCACCAATGATGTAATTGAACCAGAACTCTCATTGCAAACAGAAAACAATGGAACGATTTGGTGGGCACTGACCTTGAGTTTGGGAATTGTAGTTCACCTACATCCAGAGAGCACCTACATCCAGAGAGCACCATGGACTCAAACAATGATGGATCTGAATCAAACTTGGCACAAATACTCAATATGCCCAAACGTGAACACTGGTGGAGTTTGGGGAAAATAGACCTTGACATTTGGGAGTTGTAGTTGCTGGGATTTATAGTTCATCAACAATCAAAGAGCATTATGAACTCCATCAAAGATGGAATTGAACCAAACTTGGCATACAGAACTCTCATGATTAATCGAAAACACTGGAAGGGTTTGGTGGGCATTGACCTTGAGTTTTGGAGTTGCAGTTCACCTACGTCCAGAGAGTACTGTGGACTCAAACAATGATAGAACTGGGCAAAACTTGGCACCAATACCCAATATGCCCAAATGTGAACACTGGTGGAGTTTGGGGAAAATAGACCTGACATTTGGGAGTTGTAGCTGCTGGGATTTATAGTTCACCTACAATCCAAGAGCATTCTGGACCCCACTAACGATAGAATAGGGCCAAACTTCTGACACAAAACATCCATGACCAACAGAAAATACTGTGTTTTCTGATGGTCGTTGGTGACCCCTCTGACACCCCCTCATGAGCCCCCCCAGGGGTCCTGACCCCCATGTTGAGAAACACTGCTCTAGAACAAGTCTGCTACCATACAGGTTGCCACAGAATATAAGCAAATGCATTGATAGACACATCAGTGTCAACAAACAGCAATTAACTTTATTAAGGTATCACAACTCACAACCTCTGAGGGTGCCTGCCATAGATGCAGGCGAAATGTCAGGAGATAATGCTTTTGGAACATGGTCATATAGCCCAGGTGTTTTGACCTACAGCCTATGTGTTTTGGCTTACAACTCTCAGAAATCCCAGCCCGTTTACGAGCAAGTCACACTCTCTCAACCTAACAACAATGCAATGGCAAACATCCTCAGAATAAATCATGCCAAGAAAATCCTATGACAGCGTCACTGTAAGTCAGAGTCAACTTGAATGTATGTATCAGCAACCACAATGCATCACTGAGGTGCTTAATAATTAGGAGCTTTACTGTATTTCTTGGATCACTTCTGGAAAATTATGAGGTATTATGAACAGATGACAAAGGCAGGTGCTGTTATGCATCAGAACAACAAAGTGCTTTGTGGCACCACCAATTTAGCATGATTTAAACTTTTTAAAGATCTCTACTAAATGATTCCAAAGCTATTTCACAAAAGCTTGTGCCACAATAAATGCATTAGGCTTGAATCCTAAGTGGTGTCTGTAGAAAGGCCTTGAGGCTTTTGCAAACAGAAGTGGAAAGTTCATTTTCACCTTCCTTTCCCTTTGAAGCTCTTGTGCCACCCCTAAAACTGTCCCAAAGAGTCCCTATCATGCAGGTTTTGGGGAGGGGGAGGCAAAGTGAAAAAAGAAACACATTAAGACCTTGTGAATTTCAGAAACGACTGTCCCACAAACTTAATCCAAAAATGCAAGCTCTTGCTTCCATCCATGTCATTGAACCAGCTTTAGCTGCTTCACCTAGACTGGGATCAAATAGTTTGGAAAACCAATAGCACGTAATTGCACATTCTCCAAAGTTACCCAAAGATTTAGCATCACAATACAACACCTAACTATATATTACTGCCGCACATGGACTTAAACTGTTCTGTAAACAGAACTTAGCCTAATGCACTTATTATGGTGCAAAATCCATCCCAAGGGAAAGCAGGAGATGATGCCATTTTGCTTGCTAATAAAAATATCCCATTTGGGTCCCAAAACCTGTGGCTCCACTATAATGCATCACCTATAAATGTGTGCCTAATGGGTGAAAACTTCCTACTTTCCAAATCCTAACTGGAATATGAAATATCCGGCCTTCAGTAGTTTGGTTCATTTCACTTTAGTATCACAACTCATAGACCACTTATACTGTGGATATTTCAACCACACTTGGGCTAGAATCCATGGATTAGGGACACTGTAATTTAGGTAGTAAAGTATTTAGTAATTTAGGTAGTAAAGTAATTTAGGTAGTAAAGTAGTAAAGTTTCTCAAACTGTGCTCCTCCAGGTGTTTTGGACTTCAGTTCCCATAATGGTAAGATGGTTGGGATTTCTGGAAGTTGAAGTCCAAAACACCTGGAGGAGCAGTTTGAGAAACACTGCTTTAAAGCTGTGGTTCTCGACCCATGGGTCCCCAGATGTTTTGGCCTTCAACGCCCAGAAATCCTAACAGCTGGCAAACTGGCTGGGATTTCTTGGAGTTGTAGGCCAAAACACCTGGGAACCCACAGGTTGAGAACCACTGCTTTAAAGGCATCAGATACCATCTGATCTTGGACTCTAAGCAGGGTCAGCCCTGGTTAGGACTTGGATGGGGGACCACCAATAAATACCAGGTGTTGCAAGCTATATTTCAGAGGAAAGTACTGGCAAAACCACCAGACAACATATCTGGTGTAAGAAATCTCTATGAAATCCATGAGTTGCCATAGGTACACAGGCAACTTGAAGGTACATACACACACACACAAAGTAATTCATCAGGAGGTACTAAATGAATAAGAGAGGTTTGTGGTTTGTTGCACTTAGAATCTTAGAGTTGGAAGAGATCTTGTGGGCAATCCAGTCCAACCCCCTGCCAAGAAGCAGGAAAATTGCATTCAAAGCACTGATAGCACAGAGGACAACAGAAAATAAGTTATTTTTAGGATATTGTTCTGGATTAAATTATTAGATGCTTGAGAAATAGCATTGGGTTCAAGAGAGTGGAAAGAACTAACCTGCAACAAGGTACACCTTTAAGCACATCTTACAGGAAGGAAGCAATATTAATCCCAAGCATAAAGGAGTGCCACGTGTTATACATCAACAGTGTAAATCTCAGTGCACACACAGAGGATTTACTGGTTTCTAGCTATTCCACAGTGGAATCCCAACATCATCAAACACGTATTTCCTTCTGGGGCCAAAGCACATGCTCTGGAAAGAGAAACCTTTCCAATCGTTGGACAGATGTTGCTTTTGGCCAGACTCTTCCTCAACAGGCCAAAGTCAACATCAGGTGCATGGAGGAAAGAAAGGGGCTGTGTGTTTGTTGGCTTTTCAACTATGGCCCTGATTCTGGGAAAAGCCACAAACACACACATTTAACATGACACCACTTTGATTGCCATGGTTTAATGTTATAGAACAGGCATGGGCAAACTTCGGCTCTCCAGATGTTTTTGACTTCAACACCCACAATTTGTGGGAGTTGCAGTCCAAAACACCTGGGCATCCCAAGTTTGTCTCTTCTATAGAATGAAGAGAATTGCAGTTTCATGAAGTCTTGGGACTTCTCTGTCAAAGAGGCCTGGACTCTCACGAAACCACAACTCCGGTGATTCTATAGCATTGAGCCAGGTGGTGTCACACTGGATTAATTCTCAAGTGTAGATGCACCTGGGATGCAGCCATGCAGGACGACTCCAGCAGCCTCAATGACCACAAAGCAACAAGCGCACAGTGAGTGCATGTATACCAGGCATGGAAGAACAGAAAACGCAATGTTGGTGGGCAGGAAAAGAGATTTAAAGATGGGCTCAAAGCCAATCTTAAAAACTCTGGCATAGACACTGAGAACTAGGAAGCCCTGGCCCTTGAGTGCTCCAGCTGGAGGTCAGCTGTGACCAGCAGTGCTGTAGGATTTGAAGAGGCACAAATGGAGAGTGAAAGAGAGAAATATGCCAAGAGGAAGGCGCGTCAAGCCAACCCCGACCGAGACCGCCTTCCACCTGGAAACCAATGCCCTCAATGTGGGAGAAGATGCAGATCAAGAATAGGGCCCCACAGTCTCCTACGGACCCACCAGTACACTGATCTTGGAAGACTATCCTACTCGGACAACGAGGGATTGCTTAAGTAAAGTAAGTAAAGTGCCAGGCATGGGCAAGCTTGGGCCCTCCAGGTGTTTTGGATTCCAACTCCCACCATTCCTAACAGTCTCAGGCCCACCTAAGTGGCTGAGGGGGAAAAGGAAAGGGTCTGGGGCTGTTAGGACTGGTGGGAGTTGGAGTCCAAAACACCTGGAAGGCCCAAGCTTGCCCATGTCTGGTCTACACTGTAGCCGAAATGCAGTTTGACACCACTTTGAACTGTCAAGGCTCAATGCTAAGGAATCCTGGGAGTTGTAGTTTGACAAGAACTTCAACCTTCTCTTCCCAAGAGTGCTAGTGCCTCACCAAAGCTACCACCCCACAACACTGAGCCATGGCAGTGTGTAGATCAGTGCTTCCCAACTTTTGGTCCTCAGGTGTTTTGGACTTCAGCTCCCAGAAATCCCAACCAGTTTACCAGCTGTTAGGAATTGTGGGGGCTGAAGTCCAAAACACCTGGAGCAGCACAGTTGGAGAAACACTGGTGTAGATGCATTCCTTGGGCTGGGAAAGGGGAAGGAACGAGGAGCAGGAAGAGGAAGAGTCCCAGGAGGAGGATCCTTTCCCCTTTTTTGCAAAAGCGAGCTGTGATAAGCTCGGGAACCTCTAGTAAGGCCGAACACAGAAGGCAGGCAATTCAGGAAGGCACAGAATTCTTCCTCTGCTTTTGTAGGCAGGCAAGAAAGGAGCAAGCCTTGGGGGGTTCAAGCCCCTCTCCTCTCTCCCTCCCTCCAGCCCAGCCCGGCTTCCCTCCCCCTTCTCCCCATTTCCCTGGGCATGTGCGGCCAGCAAAGGGCTTGCGAGCAAGGGCCCAGCTGAGCAAAGGAAGGCGCAATCTAGGCAGCCCCCGGTTCCCACCAGTTTCCCCCACTGGCTCGGTGTACTCACCGCTCTCGGGGGCCAGGGCAAGAGAGGAAGGAGAGAGAGAAGGAGGAAGCCTGGTCTCCTTTTCCTCCTCCCGCGTCCAGGCTCTGGCGGAGTCAAAGGATCCGGGCTCCTCCTCTTTCTCCTTCTCCCCGCCTCTGGTTCCTATCCCGGTGTCTGGTTTGGACGCGCCTCCTTCTCCTCGGATACTCCAGGCCCCACGTGCGAGCTTTAGGCATTTTGGGGAGCCTCTTCTCGCAAGCTTATAGGGGGTTGGCTCTCAGGTTTTCCCCAAAAGGGCTGTGGAGCTGCATTCCTTCCTTCCTTCCTTCCTTCCTTCCTTCCTTCCTTCCTTCCTTCCTTCCTTCCTTCCTTCCTTCCTTCCTTCCTTCCTTCCTTCCTTCCTTCCTTCCTTCCTTCCTTCCACAGCCATAGTTAAACTGAAACCAATGCTTTCTTTTGGCCTTTTGGACTGACAGCCAGAATGTTGGGTTCTGTCTCAAGACCAAAAGAAAACATTGGTTTCAGTTCACCCTGTTAGGGCATGTAAAAAAATCAGCTAGTTTGTGTGTAAACTACAAAATAAGATGTGTGAAGCTGATTGGTTGGCCTACACCCAGGGAGCTAGCTGAGACTGGGAGTTTTGGTTACTGTTACATTTCTCAGGCTTGCAGGGAAAGACAGAGAAGTAGGTAAAGGTTTTCCCCTGTCATTAAGTCCAGTTGTGTCTGACTCTGGGGTGTGGTGCTCATCTCCATTTCTAAGCCAAAGAGAGCGTCTGTAAACACCTCCAAGGTATGTGGCCGGCATGACTGCATGGAGCACCGTTACCTTCCTGCAGAAGTGAGTACCTATGATCTACTCACATTTGCATGTTTTCAACTGCTAGGTTGGCAGAAGCTGGGACTAACAGTGGGAGCTCACGGTGCTCCCCAGAATCGAACCTGCGACAAAGCAGATAATCCACTATATCTGCTTTGAACTGGAGCCCCCGGTGGCGCAGTGGGTTAAACCCCTGTGCCGGCAGGACTGAAGACCGACAGGTCGCAGGTTCAAATCGGGGGAGAGGCGGATGAGCTCCCTCTATCAGCTCCAGCTCCCCATGCGGGGACATGAGAGAAGCCTCCCACAAGGATGATAAAAACATCAAAACATCCTGGCGTCCCCAGGGCAACGTCCTTGCAGACAGCCAATTCTCTCACACCAGAAGCAACTTGCAGTTTCTCAAATTGCTCCTGACATGAAAAAAAAGCAAGTTTAGCAGCTCAACTGCGCCACCGGGAGACAGAGAAGTAGAGAGAGAAAGTTGGGAGTTTGCCCTTGCTTCATGAGCTGCTAGAAAGAGTTTCTCCACATGGACAAAGAAAGACCATTTAAAATCTATTATCAAAGGCTTTCATGGCCAGAATTGCTGGGTTGTTGTAGGGGAAATACACACACAGAGGGATTCCAGGCAAGAAACAATCAGGGACAGGTAATTACCTCTCAACAAAGGATTCTCCCAGGCGCTAACAAGCCACCCCTAAAAATTGTCAGGCCATCAAATGCTTATCAAGGTTGCCAACTGAAACATTCACACCTACTTGGAACAGAATAGGGGTTCTTTCTCCCACCCTGGATATTATTCCACAGATATATAAACCCAATGTTCCTAGTTTCCAACAGACCTCACAACCTCTAAGGATGCTTGCCATAGATGCAGGCGAAACGTCAGGAGAGAATGCTTTTGGAACATGGCCACATAGCCCGAAAAACCTACAACAACCCACATTTTAAATCTCTCTAAAAGACATTGTGTGACTCAATGCAAGTGGTCACATAATTGTACATATGTTGTTCTGTATTATGAAGAGTAAACAACATGTTCTTTATTGATCATCTGTGTGGCATATTTTCTTTTCTCCGGCAAAACAGTGTGTGAACTGATCAAATGTGAACTATGTGTGTTTTTTCATTCCACCACACACCCAAGGCTGTGGAATGAATGAATGCAGTTCCACACTGTTTGAACTTCCCTGTCCCAATGCTATGGGAGTTGTGGTTTGACAAGGCATCCGCATGCTTTGGCAAAACTACAACTCCCATAGCATTGAGCCTTGGGTGGGAAGTTGTACCAGGCTGCTCGTGTTTTGCAAGTTTCCCGGAAGAGCAGAGCTTTCTGAACATTTCCTATGGGTGACACACTTTGTAGGCATGCACCATTTCGCGACACAGTCACTAGGTTTTTCTAGAAAACATGTCACAACTATACATAGTAGCATTAAAGCTGTACATAGTCACGTCAAAGCTATACATAGTCATGTTGAAGCTGTACATTGTCATGTCCAAGCTATACAAGTTACATCAAAGCTATACAAAAGTAAAGCCACGCCGGAGACAGACTGAGATCTAATTGAAGCCATATTAAAGTATTATCCAGTCAGAACTGTGGTTATGCTTCAAGGACTTTAACTCCCCTCACAAAGATTGGCACTAAACTCAAGAGGAGAGGAAATTTGAGATGTTATTTAATACATTCTTGTTTTTACTTCAAATGTGTAGCAATCAATCTTTCCTTGCAACACAGACACCTTCCAAATAAATAGCTAATGCGAAGGGAGAACATGGCCCTCTGGGTGTTTTGAACTTCAACTCCCAGAAATCTCAGCCAGCTTATCATCTGATAGGAATTGTGGGAACTGAAGTCCAAAGCAATTGGAGGGCCAAAGTTTGCCCATGCCTGTAAACCAACCTCTTATTAGAGATATGGACACATACGTATATTGTAATAATGAGCAGTATATGGCCATAACATATCTCACAAAATACTTTCATTTCTGTTTCTAAAAATATATGATTTGTAAGATCATAGCATACATTTCCAAGATTTTTATCCTTTCAGCTTACATTCTTGCAATACACCTACACACTGCAGCCGACACACTAATGTGTTGTGACAAAGTTTGGAAAACTTTGCAATAGGTTTTGGGCTGCGGCTGAAGTAGGCAGTGTTTGTTTGCCAGTGAAGCAATAATAGCAACAACAACAACCATACACTTTATTTATAGTCCACTTTATCTCCCCGGAGCGACTTAGAGTGGATTACAATATACATATGAGGCAAATATTCAATGGCTTTTACATAAAACAACAATGTACAATACACAGATCAGGTAAAGGCCTTCTCCTTTTTCATTTCCCGCATCTGGAGGCAATGGTCAGCTCTAATCATGGGAAGGTGCTCTTGTTCCATTTTCCATGCCGAAGGAGCCATCTGCATGTCTGCATGGGGCGCCCTTTTACCTTCCTGCAGAGGCGGCACATTTTGTCTACTTTCGAACTGCTAGGTTGGCAGAAGCTAGGACAGGCAGTTGGAAACTCACCCTTACTCGAACTTCGAACTGGAAATCTGCTAACCCTGTGGTCAGAGGATTTCCTGCAGCTATTGGCTATCGAGTAAGGGTGAGTTTCCGACTGCCTACTTGCTACTGTGGTCCAAACATAAAATCAGTTGAACATCCCTTCTCCGGGATAAACACACTCTAACGTTGTTTGCTTGAATGGCTGAAACCGCGACACTGTTACTTTCAGGTAGTTCAATGTACATAAACTTCATTTCAGGCACAGAACTATTTAAAATGTTGTCCATAAAATGTCCTTCATATACACAGTAGGTGTATATGGTGTACATGAAATAACATTGGATTTTGTGTTGAGACTTGTGTGCCATCTCTCACATGTTTCATTAAGTACATACATGTAAATACAGATATTTTAAAATAATTCAAAATACAAAAGAGATAGTATCCCAAACAGTATAATTTCTCCAGTTGTCTAGGGCATAGGCATCTTGTGATAATGCTGCATGTCTCATTAAGAGCCACATCCACTGTTTTAATGTTGTGAGATGTATTCCGCACTGGGCATGGATATTCAGCAGCAGTGTAGCAAGGCGCAAGGGCAGATGTCTTCACCGTGTCTGGTTATGATCTCCAGGTTGTGACAATCAGCTATTGTACGATATTATTTCTAGCACCCATTTTTTGCTTGATAGGCAGAGCATGGTTCAAGGTAACTCCCAAGTATTAGGGTATGCTGCAATGCTCCAGTGGGATTCCTTCCCAGATAATCCTCAGAGCTCGAGATGCTTGTTTGTTCTTATGTGAAAAGTGCACGTTTGCATTTTAGATGGATTAGGAACCAGCTGGATTTCCCTGTAACAGGCAGTTAGAGCACCTAAAGCTCTAGTGAGTTTCTGTTCAACCATTTCAAAGCTCCCTGCTTGGGTGGTGATAGCACGATCGTCAGCATGGATGAAACTCTCTGTCCCTTCTGGCAGTGGCTGATCATTTGTGCAAATGTATGTGAAATGATGACTCCCAGGATTTTATAGCATTGAGCCATGGCAGTTAAAGTGGTATCAGACTGCACTAACCCCACAGTGTAGATGCACCCTTTAACCCTCCTAATGTGCTGCTCGAAGATCATTTCAGTATGCCCGATAGTAGGACCAGATATAATGATGGTAAAAAGAAATGGGGCCACAAAGTGGAGTCCATGCCATGCCAGTATGGAGAAGAGCAAACCACAGACCACTTACTCCAATGCAACCTGAGCCCTGTCACATGCAGAATGGAGGACCTTCTCACAGCACTAAAACTTAAAGAAAACATTACAAATTTCTAATATGTTGTTGTTTGTTTAGTCATTTCCGACTCTTTGTGATTTCATGGACCAGCCCACGCCAGAGTTCCCTAATAGCTGTCACCACCCCCAGCTCCTTCAGCCACTTCAAGGAGCCAGTCACTTCAAGGATGCCATTCATCCATCTTGCCCTTGGTCGGCCCCTCTTCCTTTTCCCTTCCATTTCCCCCAGCATCATTGTATTCTCTAAGCTTTCCTGTCTTCTCATTATGTGCCTCTAATATCCCTCCCTCTAGTGAGCAGTCGGGCTTTATTTCCTGAAGTATGTACTGGTTGGATCTTCTTGCAGTCCAAGGCACTCTCAGAATTTTCCTCCAGTATCACAGTTCAAAAGCATCTATCTTCCTTCACTCAGCCTTCCAGCTCTCACATCCATAGGTTACTACGGGGAATACCATTGCTTTAACTATGTGGCTCTTCGTTGCCAGTGTGACATCTCTATTTTATCGAGATTGGTCATTGCTC